ACACTTTTATGTACGAACCACATACTAATGTTATTCGCTTATACAGTATACATAGGTAATTTAAAACTTTGCGGTGGGCCCTTGAAACAATTGCGAATAAAAATAATATTTAAATTTTTTATTTATGTGAATTTCTTTATTCGTTTCAATTTTCATACATACATACATTTAAACCTTCATACATATCAGCTAACATTTATAAGGAATTGTAGTCACAAAGATTTACCATAGATTTTGTTTATATGCATTTTTATATTAAGTTGAATTCTGATGCCAATACAAATGTGCTATGAATTTAATTACATACTGGAAACATTGCAAAATTTTAAAACACCACAGTTTTGTTTTTTTGTAAAACTATTGTGCTACATGCCATGTAAATTTTATCGATGCCTAAAGAGCTTAATTTGGCTATACTTTCCGATAACTATCTTCCAAAATATGTATATAAATATGTTTCGCAATATTTTGCATACTTATTTTATAAAGGGATGTAAGATTTTAAACATATTTTTTTTGATCACAAATTGTAAAAAAAATTAAAAATACTTGCAATTAAAGTAAAAATGTGTCATAACAGTTATTACAATTTCAAAAAAAAATGAAATTTGAAATTAGTATGCAGATATAACTGCTATATTTTATTTTTTTGCAACCAAATTGTTTATTCTAAGTACTTTAAAAACCCTAACTAAACTAAATAAATATTCCATTAATGGTACTAAATAAGTATGTAAAACCAATTCTAGTTGATGTTTTAGTATTATGCACTAGTACCGTATTTTTTTTTTACTTTTTTAAGAATTAATTTTGGATTAAGTAGCTATGCGTATCATTACTTGCTAAATAACCTTATTTTCAATTAACAACTACAAATGTTACATACAACAACAAGAACATCAGCAGCTTCACATTAACTTTAGGACAGAATAATGTTTTTAGGTACTTATGGGTCGATTATGGATAGCAACGCAACCTCGTCCACCGAAGTTATGTGTTATAATGTTGCAGATAATAGAACTGTGAAGTACCAGAAACCAAAACTCGAGCGTATATATCAGGCCTTGAGAGCAGAAGTGGCCTAACCTACAATTTTTTTTTTCTTGTACTTAACTTCTTAAAATAGTTTCAAATGTGATAAATTTTAAAGTATTCCTCAATTTGATGGTACGTTATGAAGCTCTGTTGCTTAAAATTAATCTGATTTGAGACTATTTTAATTAGGAAAGCAATCAAAAAAAATTTTTGGTGAGGCCACTTCTGCTCTCATGGCTTCATATGTAAACTGAATACACTTGAAAAAATAAAAATAAAAATATCGCAAACAAAATTTCCGCGGCAACCATACAACTGAAGTTGCCAATATAGCTAGTTTCCATCTGTGTCCATTTCTGCCACTGTCAACGCAACTGCAGTTCGATTTTCATCCGTATTGCACCCATTAATTCAATATAATGCGCTCCTCAGAAAACTATTCTTGCTCTCATAGTCCCCGCTTCATAAATATCGCCTACATTACTGCCGACCTCGCTGTGCTGTTGCTGTGCCCGCTGCTGTATTGTATGAATTATACACTGCCGCCGTCCCACCTCCAAACGACCCATTGCGCTGTAAATATGTCGCCGATCCACCATTGCGCCCCTGTGTCCGATAATTCGCGGTTAACGCTTTATCGGTACGAGCACTTATTACAGCTGGCTGTTAGAAAAGTCGTTTCTCATAGGAGAAAAGGCCATGCACATTACCTTCCACCTGAGCGGAATGTGTGCGCTTCATAAAACGCAGCTTGCCATTGTAAATCATAGATCTACGTATGTAACAAAAAATATCACAAATTAATGTCAATTAATTCGCATTGATTGCGATCAAAGTACAAATAATATACCTCAATTCACTAACAGTATGCGCGCCTATATCTTGACAGCTATGCTGCAGTCCACACTCCAAGTAGGGCAAATAACGCAGCACTGAACCCTTGTCTACAATACTGCCGCTCACACCCTGTGCCACCTTTGTGCGATCCATTTCAGTGTGATAGTAACGGGACATAGCAGCCCCTTTGGCATCACGGCGTTCCATAGCCTCCAAGGAACCCATACCGCGGTACTTTTTCAAACGTACACCATCATGAAAGAAGTACTCGCCGGGTGCTTCGGAAGTGCCAGCCAAGAGAGAACCCATCATGACAGCACATGCGCCTAATGATAAAGCTTTAACGATATGTCCTATGGATTGAATACCGCCATCAGCAATCACTGGTACACCAAACTGTTTGGCGTAGGTAGAAACTTGGTAGACAGCAGTAGCTTGTGGACAGCCGCAAGCCATCACTTCTTGAGTGATGCAAATCGAGCCAGAACCCATGCCAATGCGCAAACCATCAACACCGGCGTCAATTAGATTTTTCGCTTGAGCGCGGGTTACCACTGAATGATCGGAAAAGTAATATTGTTAATAAAATCTAAAATAAATAATTAAATTAATTCAAGGACTTACCATTGCCACCAATCACTTGCAGTTCTGTATAAGTATTTTTGATAAACTTGATCATATCAATCTGATAAATGGAATTGCCTTGCGAGGAGTCCAATACAATCACATCAACGCCATTTTCGACTAGCAATTTGAGACGGTCTTTATCTTCCGGACGTGTGCCAATAGCAGCGCCCACTAACAGTTGTTTGTTACTATCTTTCGATGCATTCGGATATGAACGCGCCTTCTTTAAATCAGTGCGTGCAATCAATGCAACCAGCTCCCCATTCTCATTTACAATTGGCAGTTTGCCCTTCTTACTTTTTTCTAAAATAGCATTAGCCATAGGCAGTGTGATACTATTCGGTGCTGTGATCAACTCGGTGGTCATGATAGTGCCCAATTTAATATCTGGCTGATTTTCACGGAAATCAATGTCACGCGAGGTAACAATGCCCAACAAGCGGCCGCCCAATTTGCCATTGGCTGTAATTGGATAGCCTGTAAAGCCATTTTTGCGACGCGCTTCCAACACATCACCCACTGTATTCTCGGGCGACATCACTGAAGGGTCACGGATGAATCCATGCTTATATTTTTTTACTTTGTGCACTTCATTTGCTTGATATTCCGGTGTGCAATTGTGATGAATTATGCCAATGCCTCCGCAGAGCTATAAATAGATAAAAATATGGGTGTAAATAAATATCTAAAAAAACGGGACATCCATAAATTCTTCGATATATTTACGTACATAATACAAACAGTTGTCCACAAAATAATAGGAGTGCGATATTTTGAACGGTTTTGACTCTACAAAAAGTATAAAAAAGTATGCAAAGTTTGACCAAAATTTCAAGAAACTTTAAATTTTTTGTTAAGCAGTTTTATAGCCCATCAAATTGTGAAAGTGCACGTTTTAAGTTGCTGAAAACCCCGTTTATTTTTGAGAATTTTTCTGGTTGAAGGTATTTCGCATTTTTCCCACCCAAATTATGTGCTATGTAAATGTAGCCGCTACAACAACAACAACAGGGAAAACTTGCCAAAATATCGCACTCCGAAATCGTAATAACAATATACACGTAAAGTTCCTAACTAATTGGGTTGAATACCTACATACCTATGGAAATGTGTAGGTACATATTTGCAATTTCCAAAAAAATTATCCAATACATAAAATACACATTTGCATACACAGAGTCGTATTAACTTATCTACTATTTATCTACATACTTATATGTATGTATACATTTATCTTTTTTCAATATTAATTTAAAATAAACACTTACCGCCATTGCAATAGCCATATCTGACTCGGTTACAGTGTCCATAGGCGATGAGACCAATGGTGCACGCAATGTTATACCTTTTGTTAAAGGTGAACTCAGATCAACCTCCTCAGCGGCGAAATCAATATAGCCAGGCAAGATAAGAAAGTCACTAAATATAAAAGTAAAAACATTTAATTGGCAATTGTAAAAGCACGCAAATAATAAATTATATGCCACAAATACACATACTTGTAAGTCAAACCATCACTGCTGGCGAAAAGCTCATGACATGAAAGGCCATCTTGCAGTTCATCTCCATTAACACCCGCAGCTGCGTTCTTTAACGGCTCTGCCGGCACACTTTCAAAGCCGTTGGTGCCGACATCGGTGGGGGTTGTCGTTGCCATTATTATAATTGATTATAGCAGCGTGTGAAACGCAAAAGATTGGCACTAATAAACTGCTGAAGTTAATTACCCTTTTGGCGCAGGTAATTGTACTTTTAAATGCTTAATACTTTTTAGTAGACAAATTTGGCAAATATGTATGTCATTCGATGCGCACACACCCCTGTACGCTATGTAAGTCAATTTAAGTGCGCAAAATGCACCGAAGATTTGACACGTTTGATGCCGCAATTGCTAGCAGCTCCTTGTATGCCGGTGGAAAACTTCCGGCTGTTTACCAACTGAAAGTGGTCCTCAGCTGTATATTTGGCTATAAATTTGTAGAATATGAACGCTTAGAATAGAAAATTCAGCACAAATCTATAAAAAATGCAAAATTTGTAAGTATTACAATTAATTAATTAGTCTTCAAATGCACATTTTTTTAATAAATGCCTCACCGTCCGTTTCAAATGCGTCTCACTCAACAGCTCCACACTGAATGAGCACTTTCGCTGGCCCCACGTGTTGCTCAAGTCTGTCCCTCAGTGGGCTCCCCATTTGCGCATGGTTGCATTTATAGTGCCTACAAAGAAATTTAGTAAAATAAAAAAATTAAAAATTTCAAGAATTGTGTATTTTTAGCTATCAAATATTTTATTAAAGGCGTTATTTAACAAAATAAGAATGCTGTTAAATATTAAATTACATTAAATTCTTTAGTAATTACCAAAATAGGATACACACAAATTATTTGTGTCCCTTTCGACATGATTCCCAAAGTGTTATTACAACCCTGGGTATCAAAACTACTAGAGGTCACTGAACATACTACACCGTCAAGAAGCTGTTAAAATCATTTTAACTCAATTTGACAGCCGAACAGCTGTAATTAAGCAGTTCGCCATTCATTTCATTTGTCGTGCAGTAAATGCATTTAATCTGTTAATAAAAGGTTGAAAAAATATCGTTCAATTGAATTTCGTTGCTGCTATTGCTGACTGCTCCAGAATAATAAACTAATATTTGATTTGAGCTTATGTGAGCTCATCTAATAAACCTTCGACCCGCGAGAAATTACATTTATTTTGCATAAAAATGAGTTTACCTCCAGCATTGCTGCAGCGCTTGGCACAGCGCGGTCTTGTACAAAAATCAAAAAGGAAGGGTGCAGGTTAATAATTACATGCATTTTTCAACCATTAGTCCACTCCTATCCCTTGCATCTCTCCCCAGATCCACCACCGGTTTCATCAGTCGAAAATGAAGAAGTCATTGCTGAAGATTACGATGAAATGGAAACAGAAGATCCACGTGCTACTGTTCACGAAGAATATCAATATCCGCCACTTTATGATACCGAAACGAGCAGTAAACGCGTTGAAGAAAATTTCTGGATAGGACGCATGAAAGAGCGCATGGGTGAAGCCAGCTCAACCACAGGCCATCGTGGTTGCCCAAATAAGTACAACATTTGGCACAAATGCACGCTGTTTTGTGTTAATCGCTGGGGTGATGGCAAATCCGAACCAAGTCGCGAGTATATGCGTCGCTACAAACGATTGCGCCGCAAATATCCATTGCCCAAAGGTTGGGCTGATCGTTATGATCCCGGTTGTGGTTGTTACTACTTTTATAGTGTGACCGAAAACTTAGTTTCATGGCTACCACCTACGCATCCGAAATCTCAGGTCACAAAGAGCGCTGCCGTTTTTCGTCGACAATTGGAGGAAGCAGCTGGCGGTGAAGGTGGCGGAGGTAGTGATGGAGAACAGCAGCCCGACGAAAGCGATGATGCACAAGAAACCGAATTAGCGCGACATCAACGCGAAATAGATGAAATAATAAACTCATCAATGCGGGCACGTTCTCCGGCTCTGCCGAAGCAAGATTTCCCTAGTTTACAGGAGAGCACGGCGACAGCAAGCGCAGCAACACAACCGCAACGAAAACAAAAATCACGTGATTTGGATCGCACGCTATCTAAGCAACGGCGTGACCGTGACAAGGAACGAGAGCAGAGCAGCAGCCGCAGGCACCGAGGACGTAGCGATGCTGAGCCAGCAGATCCCATGGATCCCAGTTCGTACTCTGATATACCGCGCGGCAAGTGGTCTGATGGACTGCCCACCGGTGGCAGTGAAGAACAAAAGAAGTCAAAAAGCGCAAGCAGCGGAAAAAAAGACACGGCAAGGGAGCGTGAAAAGCATGCAGATGCACGGCGTGACAGCGACGATTAAACAGATGTGTATATTAAATGGAAATAAATGATGTATGCGTATAGATGTACATACAAAGTGGGTATAATTAATTTCTATAAAGGCGTGTAGGTATATTGCAATCAGCCGGCCGCCGAGCACTTTATTGTGTGATACCATTTAGGCACAACCCCCAATTATTGTAAGCTAATCGCATAAGCGATAACAGCAATATACACCTTTGTAACAACAAATTCTGTACAAAAAAAGAAATACAAATAGACAGCATTAGTGCAAACAGGAGGCGTCGTCGTCGTATCGTGCAGCCTCTACGAAATTACAACTTTGCTTTAGGGTTCTTTCGCTCCTCACATGCCCAACCCTGCCCATTTACAGGCAGCAGCTCTACAATTGCTGCTTCATCTGTGCTCTCGCTCTCGCGAATCTCCTGCCTGCGTTGGCGGGGGTCTGCGTAATTTTCTGCGCTCCTGTTACATTTGATGAATTTGAGGCGTATCTAGGGCGTGGTGGATGCCGACCTTGGGTGTGTACGTACGTCGTCGGCATGGCCGTTCCGCTATTTTCGTTTCAACCAACCTTCAATGGCCGGCCCCGGCAGGGAGGCTAACAACAAACAGCAAGCGATTGATGGTAAAGTAGATGGCCTGAGTATTTAATTGACGAGTCCATGATTGTTTACATTTGTATGTACATACATACATACACACTTCATAAAAGCTGCCTGCAATGCTGGGGTGGACAAAGCAGAATGAACAAATTAAATTGGTTTGACGGGTGGTGAGTAAGCAAGGCGGGGAAAGAATGCTCACAGCAAACAGCAGTAAAATTTTCAAAGAAAACGACCGCCTGCCATTTGCGTAATATGTTTGTATGTGGAAGCGTTTGTAGTTGTTTTTGTTGAGTGGCTGCTGATAGTAGTGTTTGTTGGTGGTGGAATTGTGCTTGGCCACAGCCAGTCAGCTGTTACGACATGTACTTGGGCAAATTTGCTATTTTGCATTCTACTCTTGTTTATTCCTTGCTTATTTTTGTTGTTGATGCTTTGCTCTTTCACAGGTGGCTGTGGACACGTGTTGGTTTTATTTGTTTTTGTTTTCACCTTTCTGCTGCCTGTTATGCGGCAGCTTAGCCTTGTTTTTGTTGCTTTTGTTATTTCTTTACGCATCAATGAGGCGAGTCCATTAAATTGTGTGCACTCTTGTGGAGGAGGTGTCGATGTCACTTTGACGATAACGCATAAGCGGCGATTTTAATTAGTCACAAGTTTAACAATTTCTATCTCTTTCTATCCTGGGAAGAATGAAAGTTCCTGGTAGGAAAGTAGTAGCTTCAGTAGTAGGCAAAACGACTTGCTGTCTCAATAATCTGGAACGAGTGTGTCTTGACTGGGACAAAAGCTAGGGAAAATGGCGCTCACATACATATGTATATATTTGCTAAGTTCTTTGTCGAATTTCCGTCCCAAATTGTATTATGCGTCTTCACGTTGTTAACAAACATTCGGAGACTTCAAGTAGGAGTAGGCAGACGATTTCACAAATAACGGACTATCTGTCTATCCGCGAAGTCCTTTGCTATAATCGGAGGAAATCGAGAATTCGGATATAAGCATTAGAAAAAGTAGCTACATACATACATACATACATAATCGATATACCTCTCCACACTCGTTTTCTTAGATCAATTGTTTTCAAGTCCAAGGTGTTTGTGTATATCATAATTTTACCAGAAAATCCAGCTTGGAGCGGCTTTAATCCTTTGAAAGTTATGGAATTTGCTTCCCTAGTTTCAACTACCCTACAGGGATTCTATTTACCTGTTATTAGTGTCCGGTCGAATATTGAGTTTCGGTTACCGAGTAATACGAAAAATATTAAGGGTTTAATATCATGGAAAATCCAGTATTTGGCCATATATTTTGTATTTATGGCTTAAGTTTGAATCAGGTCTTACTAAACTCTGCATATCAAAACTCTGGAAATATTGGGCCTTATGAATAAAAACTAAGCAATTACTTTTTTTTTTTAAGTTCATACCTTTAACTCGATTTAATCAAATAAATTTAAGTAAAAGGTCTGAAATTTTAAGAAAATGCAATCACTTAAGTTTTATTCACAAGGCACATTGAAAGAAGTGACTTCAATTTTCATACACAAATTTAAGATAACCGTTAATTTCTTCGTGATTCAATGACCACGTTTTAACCAAATTAGTATGGGACCACCTCTGAGCTACCACTTTTCCGTTAAAAAAATAATTGTAGAAATGGTTAACGTGGTCCAAAATTATGCAGTAACATGCATAAAAAAATATTCCGATGAATTCATAACCTCCTTCTTTTTTTGAAGTCGGTTAAAAAGTAGACCTACGGAATAAAAGCGGTCCCTCACAGATACTATGTAGTGGATCGTTGACATCGAGCTGCTTCCCAACGCACACCCTTTGCAACGATTGTTCCGTTTTGGACTCTAAGGAAGAGTAAATTGGTATTACCTCACCGCCTTCGTCCAGGATGCGATTCTGGTCATTGGCACTGGAGACTTTAGTGATGGTTGGGACCTTTAAAGTCCATGCCTCTACGAGTAAGTTTCCACAGTAGCGGCTACCACCTGAAATATTTGCATCCACGCGTTGCGTCATCGCCATTGGGGTTGGAGTTTTCTTCGTAACTGCCAAGCTTGGCGGGTGGAGCGTACATGTCGCGAGACACGGCATTTCCATTCCGGATACCCACAGCAAGGGATTTTGGTCGGTTTTTACGAAACACATGCCTTGCTTCGGGTAAATTCTCTCTCAACAAATTCTTTGCGAAAAGGACGAGACATTGGCTTAGAAGAAATTAATCATCGATCATAGGTATATCGTCACCTGAGTGTAAGCTCGACCTGGAAGCTTTATCTGAGAAAACTTTTCAAGAACGCTGTTTAGGCCTTCATGCAAAACCAAATGATTTAAAGGTCGAACCACCCTAATGTAAAAGTGCATTGATTTGAGCCGACCACACAAACATACTCAGGCATATATACGGCCTACCTTTATTGCTACGCCGTTAGCAATAAATGTATTATTTCCCGTTGTAATATAATTTCGTTAAGTTTCCCCTCCGAGCAGTTGGCTGCCGGCGGGTAAACTTAACTTTGTCAAAGCGGGACCTTTTCACTTCATTCGAGCTATCAAGGAGACCGGACGACTTCAGCCATCACCCAGCGATACATATTAAAAGGTAATCANCAATTTTCATACACAAATTTAAGATAACCGTTAATTTCTTCGTGATTCAATGACCACGTTTTAACCAAATTAGTATGGGACCACCTCTGAGCTACCACTTTTCCGTTAAAAAAATAATTGTAGAAATGGTTAACGTGGTCCAAAATTATGCAGTAACATGCATAAAAAAATATTCCGATGAATTCATAACCTCCTTCTTTTTTTGAAGTCGGTTAAAAAGTAGACCTACGGAATAAAAGCGGTCCCTCACAGATACTATGTAGTGGATCGTTGACATCGAGCTGCTTCCCAACGCACACCCTTTGCAACGATTGTTCCGTTTTGGACTCTAAGGAAGAGTAAATTGGTATTACCTCACCGCCTTCGTCCAGGATGCGATTCTGGTCATTGGCACTGGAGACTTTAGTGATGGTTGGGACCTTTAAAGTCCATGCCTCTACGAGTAAGTTTCCACAGTAGCGGCTACCACCTGAAATATTTGCATCCACGCGTTGCGTCATCGCCATTGGGGTTGGAGTTTTCTTCGTAACTGCCAAGCTTGGCGGGTGGAGCGTACATGTCGCGAGACACGGCATTTCCATTCCGGATACCCACAGCAAGGGATTTTGGTCGGTTTTTACGAAACACATGCCTTGCTTCGGGTAAATTCTCTCTCAACAAATTCTTTGCGAAAAGGACGAGACATTGGCTTAGAAGAAATTAATCATCGATCATAGGTATATCGTCACCTGAGTGTAAGCTCGACCTGGAAGCTTTATCTGAGAAAACTTTTCAAGAACGCTGTTTAGGCCTTCATGCAAAACCAAATGATTTAAAGGTCGAACCACCCTAATGTAAAAGTGCATTGATTTGAGCCGACCACACAAACATACTCAGGCATATATACGGCCTACCTTTATTGCTACGCCGTTAGCAATAAATGTATTATTTCCCGTTGTAATATAATTTCGTTAAGTTTCCCCTCCGAGCAGTTGGCTGCCGGCGGGTAAACTTAACTTTGTCAAAGCGGGACCTTTTCACTTCATTCGAGCTATCAAGGAGACCGGACGACTTCAGCCATCACCCAGCGATACATATTAAAAGGTAATCATATTGTACACCCACTGATTTATTTGATAATAAAGCCACTTGAAATTCAAAGCTATTATCCACTAATACACTTGGTTGTGTTTTTTTCCATTTTCTTTTTTCAATTGGCATTGGTGCTACTGCGGGAGTTGCGACCCACTGGTTCACCGATCGTTCAAACGCCGCATTTCAGAATTTTATTGAAAACACCCCTTCTAAGAATTTGGTTGAAGAATGCCCTATTTCAGAATTCGATTCAAAAACGCCCTATCTCAGCTGAAATCACATTGAAAATGTGCTGAGATAGGTCGTTTTTGAAACGGCAGCTGAGATAGTGCGTTTTTCAGTCAAAAAATTAAATAGGGCGTTTTCAGAACGTTGGCATCTGCCTTAGTCTCGAGACCAGGGATCGAAGATAATAGTTATTTTCGAAATTTCAATTCAAAAAGTAGCCGAAAAGGAATATTAATCCTTTATCATTTCAATTTTTAGGACTTTTTTCAAAAAAGTTAGCAATTAACCGTTATTTGATATTTTTTCAATTACAGTAAAATTTTAAGCTTTACGGTTACGGTCAGATAAAAGAGCAGAACAATTTTAACTTTTTTCTTTGACCGAAAAAAGCGAACTTTTATCTTTTACTGAAAATTTCGAAAAAAAGCAAACAGTTACAGTCCCTGCTCGAAATAGATTATCTCTGTGCTGTATGCCCGCGCGGAGGAAGGTGTATTTGAGAGGAACCATTTGAAGGCATTGCCTTTGGTTTCATAC